TGCTTTATAGCAATCCAGATGCAGTTCATTCATGTAATTCATTTAAGTCATTAGTTTATTTCATTCAATGTAAAATCATCAATCATGTTTCATATTTTCAATAAATAAATACAGGTGGCATAGGTATACAAGGAGAACACTACGTCGGATATATTGATGCTTTTAATGCAAAGAGTATAATTCCTGAATTTGAGATTTTGAATAAGAGTGAGTTTTTGTATTATTCAGTTGTAATTTGTGTCGTTACTTATTCCCACACTTCACTTTGCATACATTATTCTCTATTTTACTTGATTATTACACAAGAGCGTATCAACACATGGTGATTGTTTTGTTTGTTTGGTTGTCTTACCAGAACATATGTGTTTCACAATACCTTTTGATTATCATCATGTGAAAATATTAAACAAAACAGAGATTCACCTCAACATACAAACACATTGGAAGAGTAGAAATGACAAAACAAGTGATGTTATTGTACGAGTGCTAATTACCAACTCTACAGTCTATCAAGATTACAAGATAGCAGGTATCGACATTGACACGATACGTCCTTGTAGACTAAATTAACCGGACTTATCACATGTGCGAGAATAAGCGATGTTGTGACAGACGTCATTTTGAATTATTGCAATCTATGAACTATCAAGTCATATTTCATGTCTTCCAATACTTTTCTGGCATTTACTGTTTGCTTTTGCATTTGCTGTTTGTTTACCATCGAGTTTTGGACTCGATCTTTGAAATCGCACTTGTACTATTACCAATTTGAATACAGGCACTTCATGAAACGGCTGAGCAATGAAAGATTAATAATATTCTGTTATCATAAGATGGTTAACTCAAACTAGAACACCTTGAACATCAAGGTTGAAAACATCCGTTTTTGGTCAGTTATCAGAATTGATTAACATCCGAATCTCAGAAAATGTTATATGTGTATTGTCAGTTAGATATTAATAGTCTGTACCACAGTCTAAATCTCCTAGAACAGATGATACGGAAGTAAAATATACTTCTAAGTTGGATGAACTGAGACATTTATCATACGGATGAAGGTGATAATATTTCTTGAACTTTCCTCATGAGAGGTAGTTGACTGTTTGACTACATCGGTTCAATGAATCTCAGAATGAAGATCATAACTTGCATGAAAATGTTGTTAGTGGTAAAACTTTCCTTTATTAAAACTGATAGATATTCATTATGAAGATATTTAAACATCCATTTCTGTTTTCATTATTTCAGAGGAATTATTTGCTGTCAAATGGTTTATGAATAAAGAAGTTGATGGTAAACGTAAGTCAACACATGTGGAATCTAAACACTGACATCTTTATTCCATATGATTATTCACTGTTTGTCAAATTCAATTTGTCTCAGAAACTGAAAATGTAGAAATTTGTCAGTTTTCAGAGCAATGAGTGTCGCTTGATGGCGCTGAATAAGATTTGAAGAATAGTTGATGTGATCTGGAAATGACTAAGGTTGATGAGTCAAATACAGATCACTATGGTGGATAAATTTGGTCACAATCTTATTTCATTTGTGTGAAAACGAATTCACAGATTCTTTGACGTTTACAGGCTTGACTTGAATTTGATGATCAGTTTGAGTTCCAAAATAAATGATTCGTGTTGTTTGTTTGTCACAATGTCAGTTCTGTACACAACACATTCATCTACCCATCCATTAATCTCATAGTCATTTCTAAATATTATCCACCCAAATATTAAAAAATTATCCGTAATACTATCTATCTAAGGCTGTTCGTTTCTTATCTACAACAAATAAACACTTTGGTCGTATTCAGTTGATCGATTGAAATATCACGTAACCATGTAACCAATTAAATCCCTTAGTTCAATTTGTAAGCAAACAACGCAAATCTTATGTCATGTGTACTCAGTCTCGATTATTTTATCAGGCATTCAAGAATGTTTACCGCATACATATGAATACTTCATTGACCATCGGATCTTAATGGAATAATTACCGATTTATTGTTTCAGTGATAATACAATAGTAATACAACATTAGGCATTTGATATTCGTTGAGAAGGCTGTATGCTTCTTTCATTCTCATGACGTGCACTTGGAATTATTTACCGTGAAGTCAACTGAAGAAAACATTTGACATAACACAGTAACTATTCACTGAAACATGGTCACTGAATGAACTGACATCTACTATGTCACATCTACCGATAAACTGGTCATTGTTTTCCTCGAATGTTCTAAATGTCGATGGTTTTCTAATTGTAGAGTTTACAGCCGAGGTAACTTGCCTAATACATCCGAATGGGAAGATAGTTTTGTATTATGATAAAGTAAGTTGAACAATTGAATGCAAATGTAGTTTTATTTCAAGTACTTCAGATTACTCAACTATTTCATGTGTATGAATACTGTCAAATATATAACTAGTTACATTGAACACGAAACAAATGAAGCAACATTCTGTAAAGTGCAAACAGAATATTTGACACTATTATTCAACTTTTGATGACACAACTTATTCAAGCACTTGTTAAAAACAATGAATAATTATAAAACAAATCACCTCACCTTCATTTGGGAGGTTGTGTGTTGAGAGATCTTGTCTCAAACTATCAACATTTTCTTTCAGGTTTCAAGGGAAATTAAAGAAATTGAATGGATACCGAAAACCTTATGTAGAGGAAGTAAGAAACATTTCAATAAATGTTGTCAGCACATTGATGTCAGGTTACTCGTATCATCAGTTTTCTGTTTGTGTTGTATTACTTTCTGTTCTACACTGCTTATCATAAAGTCAATACAGATTATTCCTTCATTCTATCACAGTGATCTAATTTAGTCTCGTTACAGTTTGAGTTTAGGATTTGATTGGCTTGTAAAATCAACTGATATAAATGTCATTGAAGAGTTGTGGATAATTGTGCAAAATGAAATTGATATGCGTCTTGTAAAAGCACTGTTCAAATGTTATTGAATTGTGAACATTCAACGTCAGATTGATGTTCACACTCCTTGTAGGAAAATAGCAGTGTCACACTGATCGCGACTGTCAGTGAAAGTGTTTGACATTCGCGACTAGGGCTTACGGACATAGAACCACTATTATAAAATGAATTGAAAGCCAAGTTAATATGTATTGAAATCAAAAACTATCATAGTTGATGATGACACAGAAATGATTCAAAGTGAGATCGTTATGGTGTTTTTTCAGCTTTCAGTGATGAAGTTCGCCGATAATAGATTTCACCGTCCACATATGCTTATACTCCCTTAACCAGATATCTTGAGTAAAGCAACTAAGGTGTATGAATGTATTTACCTTCAGAGTGCGGATGGCTATTTTGATGCGGCTCAATCTTATGGTTACCGATTGACGCATTCTGACGGGGACATATGAATGACGAGATTAAATAAATGATGTTAACACTCAATTATTCTTTAACTTACAGTACACAAGTCACACTCTTGGTCCTCAATCTTCACCCCAAATAAGTGTGTTTTGTATGAAACAGAATTAAACGAACGGTGTTGGTTGGACATTGATCCATTTTGATGTACTATAATAAGTTTTGGGCATGCTAGATAATCAGCAACTTATCTTATATGAGACATTTCCCAGTTCTTTGTTTAGACCACGACTTTAATGGCACAAATAACCTGTTGTATTTATAAACGAATACAAAATTCTAAGTGTCTTTTCTTGTTCACTCTATCACACATGATAAAATAGCACCTATAATAATTATTCCTGAAACATGGATCAATAGTGGCACGATGGTGGAATATGAATTCATTGGAGGTATGTTATAACTAATTTGATCAGTAATAACTATTTTCACACTTGAAAACATCCTTTTTTTACTTCAACGATTTGAATATTCCATGTATAATCTTATTTAACCACCAAATGATATCGAGCTATCTATCCTGAATGACGTCTCACTTACCATTAATAACTACACATCGATTCTTTTGTTGAATGATGAAAAGGATTCAAAATCCGATTTGAATCAATATTGAAGTCATCACTGATCAAAATGTGACTTGACCACAAAACAGCGAAACGATATATGAGATGATGTTAGTTTTCAATGAAATTGAGTGTCCGTGTGTGTATTGCGCGTTGACAAGAAAGTGTCCGTATTTTCTATTGGTACATGCTTCGTAAACGACTGCCTGTTTTCTGAAACTTTTGCTTTGTCATACATATACGATAAATTGTAGGTATGGATAAGTCACGTCTCCAAAATACAATTTATCATAACCAGTTTAAGAATTATTTCCACATTATGAAAATGTGTACCTTCTCATGAATATGTACATTGAGTTAGTATAAACAGATGTTAGTTCACCATGTTCAAGTCTACTGAAACAATATTTTTAGTAATGAGAGAATCATTCCATGATATAATAATCAGATCGCCGCCAATATTCTTCGAATAAGATACTACGTTCATCATCAATAAATCTTTACCGGTCCAACTAGTTTCATAGATTAACTGATAGCACGAAGCACAGAATGCAGTTACATACTTTGATATCATCCATCACAGTAGGTCGACTGAAATCTCTTCAAGAATATCATCATTGATCATTATACTAACAATGTCAGACTCCGATTGTCGTTTGACTAGATCAACATAAATGAAACTCGATTTCACGTCTGAAAACAACTGAATTTCTTGAACTAAGTGCATTCATAAAACTGATATCATTTAAAGAAACTTTACAACAATGAAAAATTCAATGTACTGTGCCCTGCTGAGTCAACTGACAGCTTCGTGCATACATGTCTGAATGTAAACAGTCATTAAAATCCATCGTCTATACTTGACATTCAACATAGTTTCATTCAATTCAAACATGATGTCGCGAAACATGATTGAAATTGATGGCGCACTGAATATTGCATGATGCATCGTACTGACAATTTTCCAGTCAGTGAAATTGTCACTTAACGCCGGAATCAGCATTAGATCATTGGGTTATTGTTACATGTTATGTATTTCACTTACCTTTTGCTTTGTCACTTGAGATTAAATCATCTCATTCTTTTCACAGACTATTGTCCAAAATACACTTCACCTGAAGCATGCCAACAGGCAACAACATCGGATATAACTTGTTTTTGGTGTGATAATGCGAAGCTATGCATTGATAGTACTGACCAGGATGCTCATAACATGAAAGTTACTAAGTGCCATGTTGAGGTTAGTACTTCTTAATCTTCACAGATCGTTTCCAATATTAGAAAATAACACATTTCGCGTGCATCCATTCACCTGAAGAAATATTTTTTCATTACGAATAAAAAATAATTCGTATACTACCCTCAATAGCTAAATTAAACTTTTGTATACATTGACGTCAACTAATCTCATATGAGTACGATGCTTTCTTTCTATGGAATGAGTAAACAATGGATCGAAGTGATCATTGTCACTAATCCTCGAAAAAATTAATGATATTTCAGCTCATTGTAGGTGTGGTCATTTTAGAAAACGCATATCTATGTGGATTGTCGCAAAATACCGATGAAAACAGTTTGATTGAAGAAGTGTAACCTGTTGGAAATAGTGTGTCATATATTGATAATTAATGGAAGCAGACTCCATTGTTGAAGTTTCGAACAAGGATTTCTGACGTTCTGCTCAGTAATATGTAACCTAGATACACTACTTTAATTAAAAAGTCGACTATAAGTTTATTGGTTTTTGTTCGCATTGTGATTAGATGCGACATTCAGAACACAAATTTCATCACACAATTGAGTCCTCTGTTGGTTTCAGAATGGCGTGTACTCAGCATACAGACTGTCAAATCGGTAGTAGATGCTCTAAATGATTGTATAAATGCAAATTGAGTAACTATTTGTTGAATATTATTCTATTATCAGTGTTGACAATTGTGCATGATGATTAGTGAATTAATTGACATTTGGTAATCAATGCTTTTGTTTTGTTTATTAAGCATAACCCAGATGTGAACGAATTGAGTACACAAACACCCACCAAACACATAGAAACAACATCAAGCGCTGGTGAAGATACTGTTCAACGCTCGGTAAGTATTTGATATGTAATAAGTGCTATTACTTTGTTTTTCCTGAAAACACTACTTGTACACTACCCTCAATGACTAAATTAAAGTACATATGAATACGATGCTTCCTTTCTATGGAATGAGTAAACAATGGATCGAAGTGATCATTGTCACTAATCCTCGAAAAAAATAATGATATTTCAGCTCATTGTAGGTGTGGTCATTTTAGAAAACGCATATCTATGTGGATTGTCGCAAAATACCGATGAAAACAGTTTGATTGAAGAAGTGTAACCTGTTGGAAATAGTGTGTCATATATTGATAATTAATGGAAGCAGACTCCATTGTTGAAGTTTCGAACAAGGATTTCTGACGTTCTGCTCAGTAATATGTAACCTAGATACACTACTTTAATTAAAAAGTCGACTATAAGTTTATTGGTTTTTGTTCGCATTGTGATTAGATGCGACATTCAGAACACAAATTTCATCACACAATTGAGTCCTCTGTTGGTTTCAGAATGGCGTGTACTCAGCATACAGACTGTCAAATCGGTAGTAGATGCTCTAAATGATTGTATAAACGCAAATTGAGTAACTATTTGTTGAATATTATTCTATTATCAGTGTTGACAATTGTGCATGATGATTAGTGAATTAATTGACATTTGGTAATCAATGCTTTTGTTTTGTTTATTAAGCATAACCCAGATGTGAACGAATTGAGTACACAAACACCCACCAAACACATAGAAACAACATCAAGCGCTGGTGAAGAAACTGTTCAACGCTCGGTAAGTATTTGATATGTAATAAGTGCTATTACTTTGTTTTTCCTGAAAACACTACTTGTACACTACCCTCAATGACTAAATTAAAGTACATATGAATACGATGCTTCCTTTCTATGGAATGAGTAAACAATGGATCGAAGTGATCATTGTCACTAATCCTCGAAAAAAATAATGATATTTCAGCTCATTGTAGGTGTGGTCATTTTAGAAAACGCATATCTATGTGGATTGTCGCAAAATACTGATGAAAACAGTTTGATTGAAGAAGTGTAACCTGTTGGAAATAGTGTGTCATATATTGATAATTAATGGAAGCAGACTCCATTGTTGAAGTTTCGAACAAGGATTTCTGACGTTCTGCTCAGTAATATGTAACCTAGATACACTACTTTAATTAAAAAGTCGACTATAAGTTTATTGGTTTTTGTTCGCATTGTGATTAGATGCGACATTCAGAACACAAATTTCATCACACAATTGAGTCCTCTGTTGGTTTCAGAATGGCGTGTACTCAGCATACAGACTGTCAAATCGGTAGTAGATGCTCTAAATGATTGTATAAATGCAAATTGAGTAACTATTTGTTGAATATTATTCTATTATCAGTGTTGACAATTGTGCATGATGATTAGTGAATTAATTGACATTTGGTAATCAATGCTTTTGTTTTGTTTATTAAGCATAACCCAGATGTGAACGAATTGAGTACACAAACACCCACCAAACACATAGAAACAACATCAAGCGCTGGTGAAGAAACTGTTCAACGCTCGGTAAGTATTTGATATGTAATAAGTGCTATTACTTTGTTTTTCCTGAAAACACTACTTGTACACTACCCTCAATGACTAAATTAAAGTACATATGAATACGATGCTTCCTTTCTATGGAATGAGTAAACAATGGATCGAAGTGATCATTGTCACTAATCCTCGAAAAAAATAATGATATTTCAGCTCATTGTAGGTGTGGTCATTTTAGAAAACGCATATCAATGTGCATTTTCGCAAAATACCAATGAAAACAGTTTGATTGAAGAAGCGTAACCTGTTGGAAATAGTGTGTCATATATTGATAATTAATGGAAGTAGACTCCATTGTTGAAGTTTCGAACAAGGATTTCTGACGTTCTGCTGAGTAATATGTAACTTAGATACACTACTTTAATTAAAAAGTCAGTATTAAGTTTATTGGTTTTTATTCGGATTGTGATTAGATGCGACATTCAGAACACAAATTCCATCACACAATTGAGTCGTCTATTGGTTTCAGAATGGCGTGTACTCAGCATACAGACTGACAAATCGGTAGTAGATGCTCTAAATGATTGTATGAATGCAAATTGAGTAACTATTTGTTGAATGTTATTCTATTATCGGTGCTGACAATTGTGCATAATGATTACTGAATTGATTGACATTTGATAATCAATGCTTTTGTTTTGTTTATTAAGCATAACCCAGATGTGAACGAGTTGAGTACACAAACACCCACCAAACACATAGAAACAACATCAAGCGCTGGTGAATTTCCGGTTACAGAAAGCCCCAAGGGAACTACAGAAGAAACTAATCAACACTCGGTAAATATTTGATATGTAGTAATAAATGCTAATATTTTGTTTTTCTTCAGAACACGACTACTGAAGAGAATGTAGAGAAGAAATCACTATGGTACTTGTATATCGTGATTCCTTTAGTCACCGTTTTCTTTGTTGTATCTGTTGGTTTAATAATTTGGAGATGGCTACATCAAAGAAAGTGAAGTAAAGGATGATTCTCAGAAATATCTTATAACTTTGTTTGATTATTCTGAATTGTTTTCATGTAGTACTTCTTTAGAACACTTTTCCTATCATTATTCATTTCAATAGTTTGGACAATTTCTTTATTAATTATGTACATTCTTATGATTGTTTACTTAACAACTTATGTAATCTTGTTGACAAAATATAGAAACTGGATTTTTACTGTTTGCGTTATTGTCTTCATTGAATAGAAACTGTGTAGCGTCAAATAAATCCCCCAAATAAATAGCTCAACAACCCCTGCAATCGCTAGCCAGATTAGATCAGACGATCTTCGATATATTAATAGCCTATCAAACATATCTTCGAACTTCCTCGCTTCCGTTTTTTGATTTCACTTGGTGGGTACGATTCATAATAGGTGTTACTGGTTAAGACGTTGTCAAACTCCAACTACTTGTGGCATCGGCAACTGACTTGTTTCGCTAGAGTTTGACAACATTTTGTTTTCAAATTAGTAGTATTGTGTAAACGTGATTTTATGATAGTTGCAATCAACAATGAGTCCGTTGTGAATGTTTATTTCCAATAAAATCTCACTACTGAACAATATCATTCGGAATTAACTACAGCCACTGTTTTATACTGAGCGACCATAATAGCTTATGAATACAAATATAGGCACTTTTATTTTTCGTTACTTGATGACTTAACGTTCAGTAATAGTTAGGCGACAAACTATTGTTAACTCGATGTTCTCAAGACTGATTATGATTCCTTCCATGATTTTGTTGTTGTCACGGACGGTATATGGTCAATTATTTCATTCAAAGCTTGTCCTATAGATAGGCCTAAACTGGTGTTGTCATAATCAGCTTCACACAAGACTCTGGTGTTTTGATTAAAGAATTGACAACTGCGTATGATAAGTGCTGTGGAAGGATAAGAACTCAGCGTTGCACATTGATTTCCAGTTTTAATGGGCACATTTACATCAGAGTTGGCGCTGATAATTTTTTTATTCGACGTTATTGTTGTGAAGTAAGCAACGTTGCTCATTTAAGAATATGTATCTACGGATTATCATTGATAAACTTTTATCATTTTTGACAAGGATCACCACTGTTTATATCTGTTGAAACGCACCTACTTTATATTAGGTTTAGGTTGATCTCCAGCCAGATTTCAGAAGGATTGAAGAGCCTAGTCACTGAAATTTCAGGTGATGCTGTATGTCAGGATGATTTTTGCTCTTGTGGTCAGTAATAAATATCGTTTGATCATAGACTTACTTCTGTCCTCCGTCGTTTGCTTGAGATAAGCTATGTCGATAGTTTTAGTTTATGTCCATTTCTTATATTTGGTTTCGAGGATTTTGTTGACGGTTGTGATTTCGAACTTGATATAATGCGACTATCTCAACTTGTAGGTGAACGAACGCGGAAAACTCCTACAGGCACACACTATAATAGACGCTATTCAATGCTGTTCCCTCTTTGTTTTACACTTGTCTTATCGTGTTAGTTCTATTTTGAATCTTATTATTCAACTCCCTTGTATGAGATGCGGAACATGAGTCTTCCTTTGTGCATTCACTAAAAATTCTTTAGAGTGATGTTGTACTTCA